CCCCCCCCCGATTGCAGAATAACAGTCGAATCTCATCGCCCCTGCCCCCCGACTAACCTCCTGGAGGTCGCCCACGTGCCGCCACTCGGTCATCTGGACCGAAGTCACCTGAGTCCACGTAGACCCGTCCGTTGTCGACCACATCTACCGTACAGCAGCGCGGTCAAGCAGCGCGGTCCAGCAGCAGCAGCAGCAGCAGCAGCAGCAATCGACAGACGCAAAACAACGACGACGATGACGACGACAAATGAGAGGCCGCGCAAGGGAAAGGTGATGGAGGAGGTGGTGGGGGTACTACTCACGTTGCGGCTGCGGAACCAAGTCCACCTCTCGCCGCAACATCGCGACGACACGCAATGGGCGAGGGTTCACCCTTGGTTTCTTATACGGGTCTGGACGTTGTTCCTAGGGCTAACGTTGAGCGTATCGCTCTCCCCTTCCGCCCTTCCTAACCAAACCGGCTTCGTTGCACTGCCCGCAGGCTGGTCACCGTCCCGGCTACCGTCCCATCACGTCACCCTGACGCCACGTCATCTAAGACGTTGTTCCGCACAATTTCCGAGTCTGTTCCTTCCTCGCGTCTTGGGAGCACCCACGGTCATTTGTCCCGCATAGACAGATGAGTTGGAACCCCGACGTCAATTCACATGTAACCCGTCCCAACGTGAGTTGGAACACCCGGAAGTAGTGATACCCGTGCCACATGCCAAGGTGAGTTTGAAAACCCGGAAACGATTTACCCGTGACCCATCCCAAAGTGAGTTGTACGAAACCCTGGAAGTGTTGATACCGGTCATCCGTGCCGAAGGTGAGTCGTAAAACCCGGCCGGACTTGGTTTCACTCGTGACCCATCCCAAGGTGAGCTGGAAAACCCGGAAGTGTTTTCCCTTGAACCAACTGAAGGTGAATTGGAAAACCCGGAAGTGGTTTACCCGTGATCCGTCCCAACCCAATCCGAAACAAGGGTGTCCCACCCAACGTCAGCGCGCCCAGGAAAATCTCTTCCGAGCGTCCTTTTCCCGCCGTAGCTGGGGCATCGTCTTGCCCACTGCTGTACGTGGCCACCCCGAAAGGCCCATTTTCTCGTTTTGCATGCTAAATGGATCCATTCCACCTTAGGATCTAAATATGTTCATACCCCTCCCCCTCCTTCCCACGTAAACCCTCAAAGTTGTATAGCGTTCGAAACACGGACATACCAGGACAGCATGCGCGCTTCTTGACGATGACCCTAAAAGATACACAAGATTGACGCTGTAAGCTCATCAACCGACAGGGGTGTTTTCGGACGAAACTTTGTCGAGAGAAGACTGCCCGTCCGCCACAGCAGTAGATATAGCCGCAAACGTTCGTAAAACGCCAACCGCAAGCTTTCCGGATACATCGTGAAGCTGAACAAAATATTCTCCCTGGTGTGCATACAATGGAGCGGAGTTTTTTACACACTCCCATCCCGGCTTTGTAGGGATGCGAGGTCAACAGTCTCAATAATACGGCATGCACGACTAGGAGTACACCCCCCCCCCCCGGCAGTAGCCGTCCCGCGGATGAAGTTGGTTTTTGTACGGGTTGCGGGATAAGGTGGGGGTTACGAAACTCCCCCCTCTTGCCAACAAACAGCGCTGAATATGCTAGCGAAGGCGCCCCCGTCCCCCTCCTCCTTACCTTCACTGTACCATCGTCGCAGGCCGAAAAGACGTGGTCTGGCTTGTCCTTCCACTGCACGAGGGACCGCACCGCCCCCCGGAAGCCATCCGACTCCTCCGACACGACGGCCTCGCTGACCTTTTGCACCGCGTGTCGGTGCCTTCGGACGGACCAGAACAATACAACGCAGCCAGCAACAGCGGTGGAGGGAGGTGGGAGCGGTTCAGCAAGACGAGGCAGCGCAGCCGGCCACAGCGGTAGAGGAGACAGGAGCAGTTCAGAAAGGTAGGATATTGCAGACAGCCACGGTGGCACAGCGGGACCCTGGAGCAGTTCAGAAACACACGTTGCTGTGTGTCGCCGACGTTGATCCCCGGACTTTGGATGAGCGACGGGAATGCTGAGGGGGGCATCCGCGGCTGAGACGACGGTTTCGTGGCGTTGGGGGGGGGGAGGGAAGGGGGAAGAGCAGCTAGCTGCGGCTGCGGGCAGACACATCTCTCGCCCAGCGTCAAAAATAGAATCGTCGCTTGAACAGGTTAACAAAGCGGTCACAAGTGGACAAGGTCCTCGCGCTTGCGCGAACGGAGACTCGTAGGAATACGAGTTCGTCTGCTCTGACCAGCACATATCCGAATGAGCGCCTTTGACGCCCTCCGAAAGGGTTCAACCTACAAGGTTGGTAGGTATTACTCGTATGTCGAGTAGCTTGAAAAGGATACAGCTACCAAAAACATGTATGGTATGAGACACCTTGCAAAGCCTACCCCGAGCGTTGGGTACGACGTGGGGTGCCGCACAAAAGCTACCAGACCCCGTCGGGGTATTCTTACCAAAGTGACCCGAGCTTGTCGGGGTAGGGTATGGCATGTCCTACAATACAAAAGCTACCCGAGTTGTCGCGTGTGTTTGGGGACGACGTCGTACCAAAGCTACCAAAAAGCCTTTGGTACGGGCGGTTAGTTTCCTAGTGGAACACCTGGGCATTGCATACCCCACATAACCCATCCTTGAAGGCGTTGGAAGCGGCCAAGCTTGCATGGGTACTTGATACGCCAACAAAACTGAAGCGTGAAAGCGGTCAAGCTTGCACAAGCTATTGCACCGGTAACGCTAAAGAGCACGGCCATGAGAGATCAGCGCGATCTTCCCGAACAACGCGGCCGAATATCCTACGAGCGCCCTAACGCGGACGACACCCCAGAATAAATTGGTCTGAACCCAAAGAAAGGGACACGGTGAAACCGTCAACCCCTCTAAGGAAAACAAGAGCTCCCCTCCATGACTACCCGCCGACACCCGTGCAAGGATCATCTGAACGCCAAGAGGGGCACGCCGTGTAACCGCCAAACTACCCCTTGGGTAACAAAGGCAGAGCACCCCCCCCCCCCCCCACCCCTCCTCCATGACCGCATGAGGCCGCCCGCCGACACCCGTACAAGGAACAAGCGCCGTGGCCTTAAAAAGAGGCACATGGTGTAACCGCCAAACTACCCCAGGTGAAGAGCAACACCCATCCCCTCCCCATCCCCTCCCCATCCCCTCCCCCACGACTGCAAGAGCGGTCTCCCCCTGTCCTCTCACCGGCAGCTGGCCGCGCGGTCGCAGTTCCCCGCGGCGTAGAACTTGCAGGCGCTGAAGGTAATCGTGTCGCCGCCGTGCCCGCGACCTGGGCCTCGCCCCCCGCCCGCTCCCCTCCCCGCAGAGTTGTACCCCCCCCTCCCCCCTCGCCCCTCGTAGCTGCTGTCCCCGCCCCCTCGGCTAGAATATCGCCCCCCTCTGCCGCTGCTTCGTGGAAAGGGTAGGGGGAAGGAAAATGATTCCTGAACTGTCATTTTGGGCTGTGGTGGGGTTGCTATTTGGCTTGGACGCGGAAAGGGTACGGTGGGACGGGGGGGGCAAGAGAATGATTCTTGATTTCTGTCATGTATGTCAAGTTTGTTTGCTAGCACGCCCCTGCTCGGGTGTCTACACCAGGGAGAGCGCCCCCCAAATGCCGTCGAAAGGCTGGCTCAGGCCAAGGTTGGTCTCGACTGCACCCGCCTGTCGTTCGGTGACATCTCGTGCACGCTGATATACGTCGCAAAAGTCATCGAGCTTTGAGCGGCGAAGGGTGTTCTTTGCGTCCTTCTACTTCTGGGTGATCTGGTTCATGGTGGGGGGGGGGCGCCACACCGCAAGAGTCGTAGGGACGGCACCGGGTGCGATCGGTTTCTTAAATGTTTTTGTCTTCGCGTGCTTTGTCGCAACCCAGTGCCTTTTCTCCGACTCTTTCGGTGCTCATGTTGCACCCCTTCTTGCCTCTCTCTCTGTTGCGGTCTGCCATCGGCCTCACGCTTACACCAACAAGGTCTACGAATGTAGTTCTTCATGATGCCCATGCGCCATGCATGCAAATGCTTGGTAGCCTGGGTCGAATCCCCGAAATCGGCCCGGCACGCGACATATGGAGCACGATCGACACGTACATCTGCCCAGGATGCCGCTCTGGTCGCTGACCAACCCCTCCCTCGGGTGTGGTGGGTGGATATGTACCAGCGGCTACTGCTGTTGGGATTCCTCAATAGTTTCGGTTGGAGCGGTGCGACGGGCCCGGTATAGCGTGACTGGTGAAATCGCGTGACATGAATGCAATATTCAAGTTTGTGTGATTTCTGGATTTTACCGCGGTGTCCGGTACACATGTGCCGGTAAACCTGGCGGGCACACACGTGACATGAATGCAATATTCAAGTTTGTGTGATTTCTGAATATAATCGCGGTGTCCGGTACACATGTGCCGGTAAACCTGGCGGGCACACACCGGCACTATTAAGGGACCCCCACAACTGTACTGGTACTAGGAACGTAGGCCCATCCCTGCACCCTGGACCCTCTATCTTTGAATACTCATGGATAAACCTGTCTTTGGCAAACTAAATCTCGATGGGCACGTGCTAATGGGCGGGTTTGGCGACATTCTACAGTGGGTTTGTCGTACGCATATGCGCACAGGAATCAGCGTGGAGAAGAGGAAGAAAACCAAAAGTTTCCTTTGGGATCTACAGTAGAAGTACCCGAGCAAATCAATCGGGTATGGGGTGATAAATAAAAATGTTGATGTTACTGGTAAATTTCTGTAGTACATGTTCGGAGATGGGGAAGGGGATAACGTAACAGGCATTGCACGCAAGGAGAATTTGGAGTGCTTGTATGTTGGTGAAAACACATCCTTTCAACACGGGGATGTTATCTAACGTACAGGTGGCCGAACACAGGACTTGTACACGCGAGCAGGCACAGTGCTGCACGGCTGAAAAAAACAAGAGCAAGTATGAGAAAAAACGCTTCCAACGGGAAAGAAGCCTCGTGTGGAAACCCTTCTGATCAGGCCGCTTTCTCGGCAACAGACTCCACACCCAGCACCGGCTTTGGAGGGCGAACGAGAGGCTAAACTGCCCAGTTTTGAAGAGAGTTATGTATACACGATGCTCGAGCACAGCAGGTCATGCTTTGATACGTCCAGACATGCATGGTAGGGCGAGAAAGTCGGACTGCACCAGGCGCGTACCACACTGCAACAGCTCCAAGATCAGGGAGGGAGCTTCACACGCGAACCGACCTCTGCGCGAGGTTGGCGTCTTGCAGACTAACAATGCTGCGGGCATGTTCCTAGGTTCCATTGCCACCTATTAATGCACAAGGTTTGAGCCGATTCGGTGTTGCAGGGGATAAGCATGATGTCTTCAAAATTCAAACTTCAGGAGAGCCCACGCGGGGCTCCGATAGTATCCTCTCTTGCATGTTGCGCATGTACATCCACTGGATATACCATCCCCACCCCAAGTAGTATGACGAGCAAAGCATGACCCGGGACACACAGCTACGTACACTCCAGACCGTGCATATAGAGTTAAACGCCGCTGCACTACAGAATCAGTAATATCTACTACGGAGTTCGACAGAGCAGTAGATCTTACGCATGGCTTTCAAGAAGCAACAAGGAGTCCAGATCTAATATATGTGTGCACGGCGTAAGCTTTACGTGTCACTTAACATTCTGTATCTGCTTCTTAATACCCTGTTCAGGTATTTAATGCATAAAATAACGGTCGGCATAGATCGAGATGCGACAGATGACCCATCGGAGAGGTAGACGGGGCAAACAGGCTCTTGGTGTTAACAGCCCCATAGGTCGACCGGCTACGCCACCGGCTATGCCACCGGCTACGACTCGTACCCAGCCTGGGAGCTCTGGGACACCCGGAAGCGGGGGTATACAGCCAATATGAACCCTTCGCCAGCTTACGGAAGGCACGCTGACCCCGCGTACTCCAGTGGTCGACAACACAGGAGGAGGCGTCACAAGTGAACGTCCACGGAGCGGGAGTAGGAGAGAGGGCCACCTAACCATCGAGGTGAGCACCCCCATCGCCGCGACAAAGCGCGACGCGGGAGATTTCCGGTGCACGTGTCCGTCGGACGGGAGGAACGACCCGGTCGGGCAGGAAACGCAGGAGGAGGGGCCTTCTGTTAGTGCTACGGGTGGTGGCCTACCCAACCTTGAGAGCAAGCTCGCGGAGGAGGATTACTACAGGCAGCAGAGCGAGGCGAGGAGGAAGGCACAGGCCCGTAAAGATCGCGCGATTGACGAAGACGAACGGCGAAATTAGAGGCCGGGGGAAATCACTCCGTTGATTCTCGGCGTAGGAGTCACGGCGGGAACCCAAAACAAGGCAGTTATCAGTCAGGCAAGCAGAATGCGTGTAGGAGACTTTCTGCCCCAGCGGTGCTATCTGTTGGCCAACCAACCTGTAAAAAGCGAAAAAAGTCGTGCGAGCGTGCAGAATGCGGGTGGGTTACATACAACCCTGGCACCGAGTGTAGCAAATGCCCCGGGAGTGTACTTCACTCGGCCGCTGACAAGCTACGTTCGGCATGCCACACGTCTCCGAACGACGAAGGTTTCACGCACCTCCGCGGGGACCCGCTAGGGCGAGCGGTAACCCTCGTGGCCGCGTAGACACAAGGAGATAAAATCTTGCCTCCTGCTCTCGTGCGAGACTTCATGCCCGGCAAGGGCTGCCTCTGCCAACGCCCAGACTGCTTCCTACATTTTTTCGCCGAGGAAGAAAGGAAGGAAGGGCTTCGCGTTTGCGGAAATTGTAACTACCGGAAATCGGGCAAGAGCAGCGTAAGGTGGTATCCCGTAGATGCTGCAGGTGATCGTGTCGCGGCCGGGAGTGCAGCAGTGAGAGATGGCGTTTGGTAATGCGGCCGTTGCCATCAGAACCGGTTGGTTTCTTTGAAGAGATACGAGAAACAGCCAGAGCACCCAGCGAACACGGATCGTGGATCGGCGAGAGGAGGCGTCCACCCCTCAAGAACCGTTGGACGCGGTGCGCGCGATGGTGGTTAAAGTCCTCTGTCGAGGTGAGATCCTGTACTGGCAGGACGTCGCCGATTGGCTAGCTACTGGACGCGCAAAGGTTTGTATGGAGGAGTTACAAGGGAGATACCCAAGAAAGCTCTTCCGGGCCTTGTTCACCAGCCTAGCCGCGGCGCCCGGTAGCAATTCACGCTTGGTCTGTCACAATGGAGCAAAGGGAGATGCACGCGAGCGGGAGCTCTGCCTCTTCCCAAACTCAAATCGGGACGAGTACCTCGTGGACTTAATGCTGCGTGCTCGCCGTAACGCACCCGCCCAGTCACCATCCGACCAGCTAGCGGATAAGGACGAGTCTCTCGAGTCGATCCTGGACCAAGTCGTGAAGGATAAGGAGGGTGCAGACGCAAGGATGTATGTCGTGCGAGCAGCTGGAAAAAATGTTCGAGGCGACGTGGAGAGTGAGCCTGCCCTTGACAACACCCCGGGACTAAAGAGAAGCATTGCTACGCCAATGAGTTGGCCATGAAAGTGAAGCCCCCGAATAAACTCTACTATCCGCATATCCTCCGGCCTTGGTTGGACAATACCAAAGCATGACGAAGATGGTACTGTATCGCGAGATCACCGCATCAGAGACCGAAGATCCTGGAAAGCCCTGGGTGTGGGAGATCGCAGGGCAAGACGGACGGCAACCTACCACCTCGGGCGGTGGGGAGGGCGAGGACGTTCATGGAGAAGACCAAGAGCAGTCACGATGTCGTCAGGGCCACGATCCGAGGAACGGGCCAACATATCGACAGCCTTAACCGCGATAAGCGATCTACGGATCGTAGGCTTCTAGTGATGTGTGTGGTGGTGGTGAAGGCCACTTTGCGTGGTCGGCACATGGCTCCTCACGACATCGAACCGGCTCAGTGGGCAAAGTCTAAGGGTACGTCTCGCGAGCTGATCAACGTAGTGGCGGAGCACGGTTTGTGGGCTCCGACGTCGCAAGTTCACCGCCGAGAAGATTTCCACGTGAAGTTCGTAACAAGGACCTTCTGAGCCGGGACGCCGAGTGCGCTGCCATTCCTTACGTGTTGCCAATGCCATGGCACTCTTCATCGCCTCTATGAAGCAGAAGGAATCGCACGGAGCAGAACAGAACGACGTGGAGGCGGGGACCCCCCGAGTCACCTGCGAGCAACGACGTTTCCTCCGGAGAGGCCGCGGAGTCGAAGAACGCAGATCTGCAGGACCCCGAGTCGGACGGGTACAGCGACGGATCGGTCGGTGCACTCGACGATTTGATCAAGTTGGCTGCGGGTGAATCTGGCTCTAGCGATGGGGAATCTGACGGGTTGAGTGAGAAGAGCGTCGACCCGGCCTGGAGTGACGGAGACAGAGATGATGGTGCTACGGATCTCGTCACCGACGCCTGGAAGTGAGACCTGGCTAGTTCTTCAGGCAGGAGACCTGGCTAGTTCT